CTGCCAGCCGGACCCGGGGAAGCAGGGCAGGGCCGGCCCATCGCTGCCCCGTACCGCGGAGGAGCTGGGGCCATGCCTCAGGCTTCTGCCCGCTGCAGAGCGGAGCAGCTCCCAGGACTGCTGAGCAGAGTGGAGCGGGGCTGGACCAGCATCACAGGGGGAAGCAGTGAGGCCGAGCAGAACCGGACCGGAGAAGTCTCTGCTGCGGGGAAATCCGCAGCGAGGAGCCGGAGGAGCAGGGAGGGAGGGCGTGCGGGGCCAGCAGGAGCAGGATGCCGGCATGCTGGGCTCGGCTCTATGTGAGGTGGTACATGCTGTATCCCACGTGCGCTGTGTACAGTCCCACGGGAGCCACGGGCAGCCCTGCCCGCTGGAAAGGGCTGGAGGCACCGTAGAGAGAGGCGCCGGCCACAGCCGGGCCGCCCAGCGGGAATGAGATGCCGAAAGCAGCAGGCGGGAGCATGGGCTTGGCTGCCATCTTCAGCTTCTCCAGCTCAGCCTCCTGGAGCCGCTTGGCCTTGGCGCGGCGGTTCTGGAACCAGATCTTCACCTGGGTCTCGGTGAGGCTGAGCGAGCTGGAGAACTCGGCGCGCTCGGCGATGGACAGGTACTGCTTCTGCCGAAACTTCCTCTCGAGGGCCAGCAGCTGGGCCGTGGTGAAGGGCGTCCGCGGCTTCCTGTTCGTCTTGTGCTTGCGCAGGGTGCAGGCTGGGGGGCTCAGCCGCCCTGCGCCGAGGAGCAGCCGGAGGAGAGGGGAGAAGAAGGAGAGAGACACCTCGGTTAGCAGCGCCCGAACCCGCGCGGCCCGCAGAGGAGCCCCCAACCTACAGCAGCTGGAGAGAGAAGAAAATAAGGTCCCGCTCAAAGTGGCCCAAAAACTGCTGCCGGGGGCACACTTCCAATTGACGTCTCCCGTTCCAGCAAAGAAAGCGGGTGCTTTGCTAAGGAATTAGGCTTTTCAAGACTCCGGGAACCGAAGTTACTCGCGGTGCTTCTTAGCAAGAAGCTCTGCGTGGAAAAACTCGGCACAGGGAAAGAATCAAGAGTCAGAAACTCACACAACCTCCACCTCCTGCCTTCACGGCTCCCGGCTCATACAGAGGAGACGTAAATGAAGCGAGTGACTAAAAAAAAAAAGTATGTCCTGTCCTTTATATTAGATTACGGAAAAAAAAAAAACAAAAAGGATTTTTTTTCTCACACCCTCTTCATTAGGCCCCTGGGAACCGGATTAAACATGTAATTAATTACGAGCTCTGAATTCACACTCAGCCTCTATCTACCGCTCTCCTTATATTTAACATTTCTAAGGGTCCTCAACCTCGATCTGCCCCGGGTTTACTTAGCAACAACTTTTACTTTGCAATTTAAATAAATTAAACCACTGCGATACTGTACACAAGTTCTTTCGGGAAAACTGCCTTTCTCCAAGGGAGGAAAAAAAAAAATAAACCAAGCAGCCCTGTTCGCAGTTCTGCTAAGACAACCCAAAACGCTCCGGAGAGCCTCATCCCAAGCTCGCCTCTTTCCACGGGAGCCCGGGCGGGAGGGAGTGGAATCCGGTCGAGGGCAAGCGGCCCAGGCTGAGCGCAGCCACCGGAGAGGATTAACGGGCTTTTCTGATCTCAGCCCTCCTGCTGTTATTTTTATTATTTTAGATCTCTCCATAGTAAAGTAGTAAAACATCAGTAATTGCAGCTCTTCAGACTTTGCAGATGCAACACTTGATAACAACCGGTGGGGCTGAAGCCCGCAAAACCCGAAGGCGCTTCGCCTGGGAGCCCGGTCTGTGCGGGTCCTTACGAAATAGAGCCACTTTCGGCAAAAACACACGTCTGAGTCAGGCTTCGCGCGGCCAG